TTGTCTTTTTTTGTGACCGACAACGGATCACAACCCTCAGTGTCGCGCCCGTACCGGACCGGCAACGGGATCGCACCATCGGTGTTGCGCTTGCACCTCGCTCAGCCAGTGAGCGGCCGGTCTGTATGTAGGAACCGAACCCTCGGTGGGAGCGCCACCACGCTCCCAAGCGGCGCACTGTAGCAGTGCGCCACCGGGCCGGCCCTGTCCTTTGTTTCAATTAAAAATAATTCATAGCCCCAGTTCTTAATTAGGGAATACTCATCAGAAACACCTAGGAAACTTTTTCACACTGCACAGCTCATAACCCTTCCCTTGAGATTCTGATTCAATAGGTCTGGAGTAGGGCCACAAGCATCTATATATATTTTTTAAAGCTTTGTAATTTTTTATCACACTGGTTAGGAACCATTGACCTATTATAATTGATTTTTCTAAAGCAGTATTCTGACATTATGACCTCAACTTCTTTTTTCTGGTGTTTCTTTATTTTGCATTTTGCATGTTAACATAATCATTTTGACCTTGTAACGGGTCTGTGTCCCTCTGACTGTCCTAGTAACACCTGACTGTCTTTTTCCAGCTTCTAATGTGTGGGACTGGAGACATCAGTGTGTCTGACTTCAAAGCCCATGCGGTGGTCATTGGTGGCTCATGGCATTTCAGAGAAAAGGTAAGTGGACCAAACTTCTTTCCGTTGGGTTTGTGGCATGTTATAAGCAAAACATTTCTTTTTTTTTTTTTTTTTCCTTTTTGTCTTTTTTCGTGACCGGCAACTGTTGTGCCCGCACCTCGCTCAGCCAGTGAGCGGCCGGTCTGTATGTGGGATCCGAACCCTCGGCGGGAGTGCCACCGTGCTCCCAAGCGGCGCACTGTAGCAGTGTGCCACCGGGCCAGCCCCCAAGCAAAACATTTCTGAAGAAAAAAGTTGTCTGGGAAAAAAAATGATATATGCGGGAAAGACGGTGGTTGTCCAAGCAGAAGGGAGCCCTGGTCCCTAAGGGCTGTCATGCTGACTGCCATAAGGAGAAAGGAAGTGGAAATGCAAAGAAATCAGAGCCTACCCTCCTGACTTGTATGCAGTGTAAATTCCTGAAGAGGTGGTCAGATCTAACCATTCCTACCTCTGTCTTCATAGAACTGTTAACTGAGGCATAGCCACATTTCAGGATATCTTGTTCCTTCCTCCAGGGGTCAAATCCTAGGCTGAGTACCATGTCTGATCCCAGCCTTGTGCTCTCCCTGCCAGGTCATGAGGTGGTTTTGGACTGTGGTTTCCAGTTTGACCCAGGAAGAGTTGGCTCGGCTACTTCAGTTCACTACAGGCTCTTCTCAGCTACCACCTGGAGGCTTTGCTGCCCTCTGTCCCTCATTTCAGATTATTGCTGCTCCAACCCATAGCACGCTACCTACAGCACACACATGGTGGGTATACAACTCCCACTGCACGCCCTGTGGGAGATGATCTTTCCAGCCCTTGCCAGTGTTTCTGGTGGTATGAGTTAACCACTTCTCCCCTTTCCCTTCCAGTTTTAACCAGCTGTGCCTCCCTACGTATGACTCATATGAAGAGGTGCACAGGATGCTGCAGCTGGCCATCAGTGAGGGTTGCGAGGGTTTTGGAATGCTCTGACCACTCTCCGGCCATCCATTTGGCTCCCATGTTCTCTGGAGCATCTGGGTGCATGTTACAAACATGATAACCATGGACCTTAATACACATAACAATCAACCAGAAGATGCAGCTTGCTCCCCTGTGTCTGGATTATTTTGTCACCTACAAGCCTCATCTTTACTTTGCCCCCATCTCTGTACATTTCCACCACAAGCCATTTTGGCATGTATGTAATCTGAGCTCTCCATTCAGTCACAAGAAGAGGACCATGCTGCTGTCATTTCATTTGGTCCTTTGAAGATCTCAGTAGCTGGAGCTGCCTCAGTAGGACTCAGCCCTGTCAGGAAGCTGGTGTGTGGAGAGCCTTAAATCCATGCCTTGCTCCAACTCCCTCTACCAATGCTCCCTGATGCTCCTTGGTGGTACCCTCTCTGGCCCTCACTACGTGACCAGACTGGTATATCAGTTCTTCTCATGGGAGAGGTGAGTGCCTCTTCTTGTCAGGAGCCAGGAGAAGCTCAGATCGGGAATGGCCCACATGAGCAGTCTTTGGTTTTGTTCCCCTGCACAGTGTCAGGCACAGGCCATGGCACTGGACTACCTCTAATGAAGACTGATAGCACAAAAAGATCTTTTTTTGTGGTGTTAGAACTGGAAAAGCCACTTTCCCTGCACACGTTTTTGGAAATGATCATTAATCCATAAAGAACTTTCTAAGCTTTTTCTTGACTTTGAGCCAGTGAGAAAAGCAGACAGACTGAATGAAGAATGTGAGGGATAGCTGGACTGTAGCCTCCAGTGCTGAGTATGATTCTCCCTTAGGGTTATGGGGCATGGCCAGGCACATGGCTGGCTTAAACATTACTAAGGCTTTTCCTGAGTTTGTTCCTTGCACTGAGGTGTGGCTGGGCCTGGCCACTGACCTCCAAGTTATGCAGCCTGCTAAGTGCTGGGGATTTTGTAGCAAAGAATTGGGACAGTGAGAATAGCATGCCAGCCATCCCTGATTCTCTCTTTGCTTGTTTCTGGCAGTACTGAGGCAAGGGAACAGAGATCAGGAGTTTAAGTGATTGTCACAGGTCCTTGGGGTCAGGACACTGAGGAAAGGCATGGGGAATATGTTAGACAGTTAACACCTAGCCATCCCAGGTACTTCCCTTCACTCCATCAGTTACCAGGAAAGGGAATTAAGGAGGGAGGAAGCTATATTAGGTTCACTGTTTGGTGATGATTGAAGAAAACTGGCCACTGTGTCTTGGAAGATGACAACATCCTTTTTCATTACTGTTTGAATGAAAATAATTTCAAGACTCAAAATCTCATCAACTTTCCAAATTTCTGTTTTTAAGAAGTCATTGCTGCAAGCTACCATTCCCAATGGGGCACTCAACTCTGAGAATATTACAAGCCATCTTTACTGCCAAAACCAGCAAGTACACAGAGTCCTGAGACGAGGCAGGACTTGTGGCAATGCCTTGGCCTCCTGGAAGCATGTCTGAGCCCTCCTGTTCCCAGAGATCATGAGAACAAGCCCTCCTGAGCTGCTACAGTTCCTGCCTGACCTCACTCCATCGCAGTCGTCATTTGTCCTTTTTTGGCGTGGGTGCTGACCTCACTTATCCTTGGGGTCTGGGATCCAGCATCAGGGCCTCTACACCCCAGGATCCTCCATGCCACACGGTCACTGCTCTCCTCAGGGACCAGGACAAGGTGCTGCTGCGTGCCCCAATTTTTTCCCCATGGGATATGTACAGGAAAGTTTAGTCATCACCCTGGGAAACATGATGCTGCCCCTTGGGCCCAGATAGGGCTTTTCAGCTGGGGGCATGTGGCTTGGTTCTGCTGTTTTTGGCAGTTGTTCCTCTTCTGGATTCTGCATTCTCCCCTCCAGCAGTCCTCCAGAGATTGATGCAGGAGGTAGAGTTGATTTTCTTGGCTGGATATGTCGTTTTAAGCTCTAATCATAGCACTTTTTCAGAGCACCAAAGGCACCATTGCAGCCCAACTGGGGCAGCTGCATCCCTGTGGTGGTGCTTAGGCACCAGAGTCTTTGTTTAACAAAACCCTTTGGTACTCTTGTGGTTTTCTATTCTTCCAGTTTACTCTCTCTCTAATTCTATTCAAAAGTATCTTTGCTCTTTTTTGCCTTTTCTTTTACCTTTTTTCCTAATCCTGCTTTGGTACTAGCCAGTTTGGGGAAAAGGTACAATATGTCAGAGAGAAGGGAGATCGGGGTCAGGTTATTTCTTGGGCAATTTTCTATTCATGTTTCTTATTTTGGCCAGTTCTTTTGTTTATGCCCTTGTGGTCCAGGTACTTGGGCCAACTACCCTCCTGGCCTTTTAGTGTCTTTGAAGACCAGGCATCAAATGAACACCAAGGAGAGTGTTGGCATGTTTCCAGAAATTCAGCAGAGTCCGAGCCCTGCTGTAGTTTCCTCAGGAGAGGTGAAATGGCCAGACAGTTGTAGCTGATGATGTAAATATTTTGTACAGTAAATAAATAAATATTTAAAAGAAGAACTAAGGTGTGGCTTCTTTAAGTGGATATTCAGGGCTTTAGTTGAAGGTTGGAAAGGAAAAGATATAGAAATGTTTTTGCATTTCCTCAGTAATTCCTTCTGAGGCAGTCGGCTTGGGGTAGACTGTATACCCAGAGCCCTGGCCTATCCCAGGCTTTGCCCTTTCACCCTTCCCTGATTGCTGTCCATAATGACAAGCAGGGTCATCATGCTCATTCTTCTGTATAGCCATCAGGTAGGACAAGTGTTTGTGCTCAGCTCCTGAAGAAGAAACCAGTTTAGCAAGAGCAGAGGTTATCTAGTCTCAGTTTGTGAGTGGCAGGTAGTACCAATTCTTTTCCAACCAAAGGTAAACTTGGCAAAGGGAAAACCAGACCTCTGATTTGGGCCTAGAAGGAAAAGTATTAGGGACCTTGACTTTCTTGGGGAAGTAATCATGGTGTCGTATACATTGGTTTCCAATCTGGAAAATCAAAACAAAATCCTCTTTGGAATTTTTTTTAAAAAACAGATTCTTGCCTCCACCCGCCAGACCCAGTGAATTGGCATCTTAGCTTGAAAACTAGAGTGCATTTATTCTGCTTCCACTTCACCAAGCTCATGAGTGATATGAAATGTCTCAAAAACCAAAAAGCTCTATCCTTCTAACTTTATGTTTTTTGGTTAAGTCCTACATTTTTCACACTTGCTGCTCTTGTGGCTTTGAATAGATCACTATGAATGTTAAATCATTGAGTGATTTCAGCCCATGATGAAGTCATTCCTTAGACTCGAGGCCGGTCGGATTGTTCTTGAGTTAACACAGTAAATACTAGCTTCAGCCTCTTATACGCTATTACTCTTTTTTTTTAAATTCCCTCTCCCCTTTCTCACTATTACTCCTGAGCCAGTGCAGATAGAGCTCTCAGACCTGCTTTGAATAGATCACTATGAATGTTAAATCATTGAGTGATTTCAGCCCATGATGGAGTCATTCCTTAGACTCGAGGCCGGTCGGATTGTTCTTGAGTTAACACAGTAAATACTAGCTTCAGCCTCTTATACGCTATTACTCTTTTTTTTAAAATTCCCTCTCCCCTTTCTCACTATTACTCCTGAGCCAGTGCAGATAGAGCTCTCAGACCTCTGTCCAGCCATACTTCTGTTAGGACCACAATAGAGGTTTTCCAGCAAGTTGCTTGAACCTTAAGGGTTCCTTACCTCTACTTTGGCTTCACTTTAGACCCTCAAGCATAATAGACCAGTTCTCGATATTCTATAATACTTTATTTAAAATGAGTAATTCCTTTTTTATTTTGAGATGTAACTTACATACAAAAAGGTAGATAAGTGTGTATAATTTATAAATAGTTATAAGCAAAACACATGTAGCCACCATCCAGGTCAGGAAATAAAACATTGCAGCACTGCAGAGCACTGTCATTCCATCCCCTAGAGGTAACTATTATCCTGGCTTCTATGATAATTATTCTCTAATCCCCTTTTTAAACAGCCTGTCCTAAAATTCATAGTAGGGAGGGGAAAAAAGAGCCCATGTAGTCTCTTAATAAGATGCTAACCAAGGTCCTTTTCTCCATAGTAGTTACTAGGCCTCACAATTGGTTTTAAAAGTCTTCAGAGACCATCATTGCCCCATGAGAATCTAGTCCAGATTCCTGATGTGGAATCTGATGAATCATATTCTGAGACTGCATTGTCTGTCTCTCTGTAAAGATTTTTCTCCAGATACTCTAAATTGGATACTCTTTTGCTTTTATATTCTGAACAGGTTTTTTAGGCTGGTCTAACTTGATCATGATTCTCTCTGGTGGTTAGCAGGAGATTCTAGAGTATTATATAAGTATAATAGTGCTGAAAATGACTCAGCAATAAAACGTCTCAAAAATTGTGGAATGGGCTAGTATTTCTGATTCAGAGTACTGAAACTGTGCACCATCTAACAGAAAGCCAACCCAAAGTTATTGGAGAGCTTGGGTTTTTCTTTTCTGTTTATTTTTAAATTTTATTTAGTTTTTGTTTGGAGTACAAGAGGATGGATTTTGAAATCTGCAGAGGGTGTTGTGATAATCTTGATCTTGTTTTGTATATGATAGAGTGGAGCTTCCTAGAGTTGGGATATGCCTTGCTATAAATGCCTGCCCTCCCTGCCCTCCCGCCCCCAATTCAGTTTGCTTTAATTTTGCTTCTGTTTATATAAACATTTTGTGGTAACCCCCTCGGGAACCTGGTTCTCTGTAGTGAACTCAGTTGTGGTCTCTATAAGATGGTCAGTGAATTCCTGGAAGGAAATGTGGAGGACACAGTCTCTTTCCAGAAGTCAAGACATGATCGCTGTAGGTTTGTTTTTTGTTTTTTAAAGAGATGACTGGAAAGGGGATCTTAACCCTTGACTTGGTGTTGTCAGCACCACGCTCTCCCAAGTGAGCTAACTGGCCATCCCTATATAGGGATCCAAACCCATGGCCTTGGTGTTATCAGCACCACACTCTCCCAAGTGAGCCACCAGCTGACCCAGCTGTAAGTTTTTTGATATGGTATCAGAGGTTGGTGGCTTTAGCAAAGTTGACTCACTTGTCAGAATATCCTTGGCTTGTCAATACCAGCCATCAGCACCAGGTCCTTAAACATGGGGTAGTTAAGGTGTTGGTACCTTGGGGCAGAGATCAGACACACCAGCACAAAACCATAGCATCCAATCACCTTGCAAGAAGTGAGTGCTGCCCACCTAGTTCCCCTTGTAGCTTCCCTTCAGGGAGATGATGGATAATTTACCCAGGATGAAGCCTGTTGATGTGGTTGCTACTTGGCATACCCAATAAGCAGGTTGCTATAGCCTTTGTAGTCTTTGATGTCCATGAATGCCTTAGACCAGGTTTGGCTGGCAAACCAGGCAAATTTCTAAGTGAGCAAGGTCTTAGGACTTCATCTTTTAGTAATGACTAGGAAGAAGTCAGTCCTGGACTACACAAGAAGGTAGGAGAGGAGATAAATTTCTTTATAGATCTCATTATATCCTTGACCAGATGGTCCATCCTGATAACAGGAACCTACTTGTATTCTATGTTTTTGACTCTAGGGCTCCTAGGCATCCAGCACCCAGCAGCACAGGCATCTCCCATCATTTACTGTTCTCTTAAGGAAAAGAAGTTTCTTGGACACTTTTGCAAGAAGTATGCAGAATGAGATCCTCAAAGGACACAAAGCTTGGATGTTCATATTTTATTTTTAACTCCCATGGTTCAACCTTGGGCAAGACAACCTTCTTTCAATATCAGTTTCCTAACCTGCAAAAGGATGCTATTAACTAAATAAGAAAGTTGACTAATAATGTGGAGCTCTTTGAAAAAAGTTTTCTTATATATAGTATTTATGATACTATATTGACCACAGCTTAGGTCCCTGGTAATTTCCATAGGAGGCTGTATAGACCGGGGGCAGTTAAGAGTGCTAGAGTGGATGGCTAGTATAGAAATTCCAAGAGGGTGGTGGCCTTTTCCCATCTTGCCATGTCCAGCAGGCCAGAGAGAATGGGTATTCAAGGGCTGGCCTGTGGCCCACTCGGGAGAGTGTAGTGCTGTTAACGCCAGGGTCACGGGTTCAGATCCCTATATAGGGATGGCTGCTTAGCTCACTTGGGAGAGTGTGGTGCTGACAACACCAAGTCAAGGGTTAAGATATCCCCTTACTGGTCATCTTTTTTTTTTTAATTTAATTTTATTTCATCAATATACAATGTGGTTGATTTTTGTGTCCCTTTACTGAACCCTCCGCCCCCCATCAACTTCATATCTGTTTGCTTGTCTCAACAACTTCAAGGAATTGTGATTGTTGTGTCTTCTTCCCACCCCGCACCCCCCATTTGTTTGTGTCTTTATTTATTTATAGCTCCCACAAATAAGTGAGAACATGTGATATTTCTTGTTGCACCTGACTTGTTTCACTTAATATAATTTTCTCCAAATCCATCCATGTTGTTGTGAATGGCAGTATTTCATTCTTTTTTATAGCAGAGTAGTATTCCATTGTGTAGATATACCACATTTTCCATATCCACTCATCTGATGTTGGACATTTGGGCTGGTTCCAACTCTTGGCTATTGTAAATAGTGCTGCAGTGAACATTGGAGTACAGGTATCCCTTCGCCTTGGTGATTTCCATTCCTCTGGGTATATACCCAGCAGTGGGATAGCTGGGTCATATGGTAGGTCTATCTGCAATTGTTTGAGGAACCTCCATACCATTTTCCATAAAGGCTGCACCATTTTGCAGTCCCACCCACAGTGTATGAGAGTTCCTTTTTCTCTGCAACCTTGCCAGCATTTATCATTTACAGTCTTTGGATATTAGCCATCATAACTGGAGTGAGATGGTAGCTCAGTGTGGTTTTGATTTGCATTTCCCGAATGCTGAGTGATGTTGAACATTTTTTCATGTGTCTGTTGGCTATTTGTATATCTTCCTTTGAGAAATGCCTATTTAGCTCCTTTGCCTATTTTTTAATTGGGTTACTTGTTTTTATGCTGTAAAGTTGTTTCAGTTCCTTATATATTCTGGATATTAATCCTTTGTCAGATGTATATTTTGCAAATATTTTCTCCTACTCTGTTGGTTGTCTTTTAACTCTGTTATTGTTTCTTTCACTGTGCAGAAGCTTTTTAGTTTGATATAATTCCATTTGTTTATTTTCCCTTTGGTTGCCCATGCTTTTGGGTTTGTATTCATGAAGTCTGTGCCTGGTCCTATTTCTTGGAGTGTTTCCCCTATATTTTCTTTAAGAAGTTATATTGTTTCAGGGTGTATATTTAATTCTTTAATCCATTTTGAGTTGATTTTGGTGTATGGTGAGAGGTACGGGTCTAGTTTCATTCTCCTGCATATGGATATCCAGTTATCCCTGCACCATTTGCTGAAGAGGCAGTCTCTTCCCCAGTGTATAGACTTGGTGCCTTTGTCAAAGATCAGATGGCTGTAGGTGTGTGGGTTGATTTCTGGGTTCTCTA